GGGGAGCAGGGGGGCTCGGGGCTGGAGAGGGGGAGCAGGCAGAGCCCCCCTGGATGCAGGGGAGACTGGAATGTGCTGGGCTGAGGGGGGCCAGGCCTGAGGCCGGAGAGTTTCCTGTGCTGGGGTCAGACGCTCGATAACCCTCCTGTGCGACGCTGGCTGACAGTCACTCCAGGCTAGAGAACAGGACGGGGGGGGGGCTTCAACCCCTTCGGGGGTGGAGGCCCTGGGGGTCCAGAGCGAGGGGACTCCCTGGGGGGCCCACGGCAGAGACAGACGTGCTAAGGCTCAGAGAGGTGCGGCTCCAGGAGGTGGAGGGGCCTGACCCCAGGAGAGAGTGGACCCCCGAGAAGGGCTGTCTCACTGAAAGGGGCACCCCCCACGGACTGCCCGGGGCCAAGAGTGGGCACGATCTGTGAGTCCGTGACAGTTTTCATAACCATTTGTCCCCACAACAAGTGGCACTGGTGGGAGTACTGGGAAACTGGAGTGTGTAAGGGGATTGCTTGTGAGACTTGCGGTTAGCCAGTGGGGTGAGACCGAAGTCCTCCTAGTCTGGCTGGTTTGGTGCCTTAGAGGTGGAAAGACCCCAGCCTTGGGCTGTAACTGCCCTGTTTTAAGCAATTTGTCCTGAATTGGCGCTCTCAGCTGGGTCCCACCAGAACCAGCATCATTACGGGCCCAGGGGAATTGGGGGTTGTGGGGCTCCTGGGGGACTGAGGGGCTTGGGGGTCCAGGGGAGTCAGGGGATTGGGGGGGTGTCGAAGTCGGGGATTTTTGTAGTGTTGTACATGACTAGCGTTATGTGCGCCTCAGTTTCCCTGTGTGCTGCGTGTGTAACAAGGTAGTGGGAGACGGTTTGTTGGTGCAGAGGACCAGGTGTGACCTTGCCTAGCAGCCGGGACCCCCGGACAACGGCCTGGAGATGGGGAACCCCAACTACTCCTGACCTGGAGACCACGAGGCCACCCCAGCTCGGCCGTCAGCCGGTTCCAGCCAGAGGGAACAAAGGAGGGAGGAGAGAGGGGCCCGGCGAACTGTTTACCTGGGACAGAGGACAAAGGCCAGGAGAGGAGCGGCTGGGGGTGGGGGCCTCAGGACTGGGGGGGAGGAGGCAGGCAGAGCCCCCCCTGGATGCAGGGGAGACTGGGGTGTGCTAGGCTGAGGGGGGCCAGGCCTGAGGCCGGAGAGTTTCCTGACACTGGATAAACCCTGCTGTGTGACGCTGGCTCCGGTCTAGAGATCGGGGGGGGGGGGGGTGTCATTCCCTCTGGGAGCGGGGAGACGGGGGAGGCGTCACTCCCTCTGGGAGCGGGGGGGACCAAGGGGGCGTTACCCACTCTGGGAGCGGGGGGATGGGGGGGGGGAGGCGTTATTTCCTCTGGGAGCATGGAGATGTGGGTGAGGCGTTACTCCCTCTGGGGAGCGGGGGGGTTATTCCCCCTGGGAGCAGGGAGAT